AACAGGACGTAGTGGTTTAAGGGAACTAATTCTTTGATAAAATGTTTTCTATAGTACATTCTTCTGTAAGTTATGTGATTATCAGGACTAGGAATTTTGCAACATTTATAACATTATAAAGTTTCAACAGCAGAATGATGGGATTAAAGGTCGACCAATTATATGAATTCTGGGAAGATCATTTAGGAAAGTTTGGAGCCAGATGTACTTAGGAAGTTGTAAGTCATTTTACAGATAAATGTATATATATATATATATATATATATATATATATATATATATATATATATATATATATATATATATATATATATATTTTTTTTTTTTTTTTTTTTTTTTTTTTTTTTTTTTTTTTTTTTTTTTCTTCTTTTTCTTTTTCTTTTCTTATCGAACTTTTTTGTCTTTCAATTTCCATAGATGAGTGGCAGCCTCAGGCATGTTTATATTTTGTCATTAACTGATTTTATCTTATAAATAGCCATCTCTGTTTAGGATAACAATTCCACGGCCTTTATCTAGTTTAGTGATGACGTTGTTATCTATTTTCCTCTTTTAATGCTTTTAGGGTTGTAAGAAGGGGCGTGCAGCATGACTGCTCTTGATATTATGTTTGAATTTCTTGTAAGCATCGAGCGCCACAGCAGAAATGATGTTGGTGATGTGATTCCATTTATTTTATTTTCTAAATTTGACGGCGTGGCAAAGAAAGAATTGAATTTAAGGAATGGTGATGGGTGGCATACAACAATTAAAACTTAAAAAAGGATTTTTTTTTTCATCTGATAATACATACATAGAAAGATAAATGTAAGGAAAGATAGATGAATATATGGTCTATGACACTGGTATGAGCGAAGGTAATTTGGAAAGAAGGAAAGGAGGAGACGAGAGGGAAAGGGATGAAGAAGGGAAGAAGGGAGGGGAGGAGAAGGAGAGGGATAAAGAAGAGAGGAAGGGAGGAGACGAGAAAGAAAGGGATTAATAAGGGAAGAAAAGAGGGGAGGAGAAAGAGAGGGATGAAAAATATGATTGGGAAATGGGAATAAAATATAGAAAAAAAGGAGGTGGTGGAGAGAGGCGAATGGAAGGGACTTTAGGTAAGAGAGTGGGAGAGAAAGAGCATTGGGTAACGCACGAAGAGAGGGAGAAAGAAAACAGAAAGAAAAATGAAAAGAAATGACATAGGGGGATCGAGGTAGGGATAAATAGGAAAACAAGAACACGAAGGGGAGGATAAATAGCCAATGAGAACCGCCCACGAGGATTCAGGATGGATCACAAAGGCAAAAAAGAGGAATGAAGAGACTTAAGGATGACGTAATCGATGACGCAACCCCCGCCCTTACACACACAGACGCCGGATGTGAAGGAAAAATGTAAACAAAAGGAAGGAATTTAGGATCACACGAGTAAAGAGAAATGATAATATAGCTAAAAGAAACTAAGGTCTGTAATCATCTGGTATATGATTAATTAAAGAAAAGAGAAAAGAGAAGAGAGAGAGAGAGAGAGACAGAGACAGAGAGACAGAGAAAGAGAGAGAGAGAGAGAGAGAGAGAGAGAGAGAGAGAGAGAGAGAGAGAGAGAGAGAGAGAGAGAGAGGAGAGAGAGAGGAGAGAGAGAGAGAGAGAGAGAGAAGAGAGAGAGAGAGAGAGAGAGAGAGAGAGAGAGAGAGAGAGAGAGAGAGAGAGAGAGAGAGAGAGAAGAGAGAGAGGAGAGAGAGAAGAGAGAGAGAGAGACAGACAGACAGAGAAAAAGATAGATAGATAGATAGGAGATAAGATAGTAGATAGATAGATAGATAGATAGAGAGAGAGAGAGAGAGAGAGAAGAGAGAGAGAGAGAGAGAGAGAGAGAGAGAGAGAGAGAGAGAGAGAGAGAGAGAGAGAGAGAGAGAGAGAGAGAGAGAGGAGAGAGAGAGAGAGAGATCGAGAGAAAGGAAAGAAGAGAGAGAGAGAAAGAGACAAAGAAAGAAAGAAAAGAGAGAGAGAAACCGATCTCGGAACCACGTGCCCAATGGCAACAAGCGCTGAGTTGCACGGGAGGTCGTGATGTTGGAAGAGGAGTTGGAGGATGAGGAAAAGGAATAATGAGAGGATGAGGCTCGCGGTTGCAGAAGGTGAGAGTGTGTGAGTTGCAACACGAGTCTCCCCGGGATTGAACGAGAGAGAGAGAGAGAGAGAGAGAGAGAGAGAGAGAGAGAGAGAGAGGAGAGAGAGAGAGAGAGAGAGAGAGAGAGAGAGAGAGAGAGAGAGAGAGAGAGAGAGAGTAGAAAGGGAGGAGGAGAGGGTATGTGATGGACGAGAGGAAGGAACGGGAAAAACGAAGAATAGGAGGAATGGAAGATGGTAAGGGAAGAAAGAGAAAAAAGAAAAGAAGAAAAGAAGTAGGGAAAGGAGGTAAAAAAAAAAAACTAAAATAGGAGAAAGGGGAAAACAGAAGGAGAGAAAATGTTGAAAGAGAGAAAAAATCAGAAAAAAAGGAGGAACTGTGGGTTTTC